TTTGAGCACGAACGCGACGGGACGACGGGACCTGGGCATGGTTAGGAAGGCTACGAGCAGAGACGGCTACAACGAGTGGGCGGGCTCTGACCTTTATATGCAGCCAGCGTCTCAACACGCGGCACGGGAAAACAATACTCCAGGGTATCGAGACGATAGCCCTAAGAGGGGAGGTAATGTTACAAGTAACAAGAAGGATCCTCTCCTTGACAAATGACGAGATGGCTGAAGGCTTATGGACGTCCACGTCAGAAGGTAATGATCATCGCGGGGCCTGGGGTCACGTGATGTGCCATCCCGCCAAGACAAGACATCCCGCCAAGCATGGGATGGCAATGGGATTAGGGATGGCATGCCATCACAGACATCCCGCCAAGGAGCAAGAAAATGGGATGGACGGGATGGCAGGACTGGAAGCAATGAGGATATAAGGATGGATGGATTTCATTATTACTCTCGTTGTGGTCAACTCAAATTGTACTTTCTTACTAGTATCTTTACTTAACAAGATTGTCACAAGTTAGTCTATCAAATAGATTAGTCTTGTCAAACCCTCCTTAAGCACGCCAACTCCACTGCATCGCCAGACAAGCCTCACGGAACACTAACGTAATACTCACCTGCCTTAGTGCGGACCAGGATAGAGAAGTATAGACCCTTACCCCGTGTAACACCTCTTTATTAACCACTCGTTGTGAGGTTAGATCCAATTCGGATCTAACTAAGATAAGTATATAAGAAGACACTCCCTATAGCTAGCTCTATAGACTTTTAATATCCTTTTATATAAGGCCTATAGGTATCTATTCGAATTAAGGCTCGTTTAAAGTCTTACGCACTCCCATATACCTCTAAGTGACACTACTGCCGATATTGATCCGAGTAGTCTTGCCTGCGCCGTTACAATTATTACAGCGTTAGAGCGAAGAGGTCTACCAAAGACTATTTAGCTAACGTCACTGAGAAAAAAGAACTAATTCTCTAACCTCTGCGGCTAGATATTAGATATACTGCGACAGCTAAGTAACTATAAGTAGGTGGCGCTAATTACAGCGATTAACATAGCTAGCTAGATAGTACTTCTATTTCTAGCCTTTGCTAGCTAGCATTACCTATCTACCTAGTATGAGAAGCAGAGATCCCGCGCGACTAGGTGATCTTAACTAATAATAATAGCTATACGAATAGCGAACTAGGTATTTAGCGCTTATATAAAGACTTACGTTATTAGCGCGCGCTGTATACTTATTCTTAATAATACTATATTAACTATATTACTAAGCTTGAGTTTCTAGCAGCGTTTAAAGCAGTCTTTAATCACTTATTTATAATAGTTAATATATACTTAGCCTTTCTAGGCGCAGGCGTTGTTTCTCTCTAGCTATACGCTGTTCTATTAAAGCTTTTGTAAGCCTAGAAATACTATGTAAAATCACGTAGTTTCCCACTAACTAAGAATGCTGTATTCAAACTTGTTCTTAGGATCATACACAACAAAACACGCGATACTTTATATAAACTCAACTACTTACAATGTTTGTATGAACCTAGTAGATTAGGTAGTATCTAAAGCATCTCTTCGGCATGTACGTGTGTTATAACCAGTCTCTTTGCACTTACTACAGCGCGCTAAAGGCCGACGGCTAAGGTCTAATCGCTCTTCTCCCTAAAGCTCTTCGTAAGCAATCTGCTGCTCAGCGCTTTGTTGAGTATATGTATTTATCACACATTAGAGTGTGGAGATACGAGCATGCGAGAATTGTGAAGGGGATTAATTCGTCATCATCTGCGTCGTCTCATCTGCTTATAGAGGCCATTGGTCAATATACGGTCAATTAGTAGGTGGTATTGCTAACAAAGTTCATGTGTCCGACAGCTGTGTAGTTTGTGATAATTGTCTCCACGGTTAAATCCTATAACTCTTTCTTACCAGAAACTCTGACCAATCGCACGAACTACTATTTTCAGCTACCTCACCCTAACCTGAACCAAGACTAGAGAAGTATAGTTTAACCCCGTGTAATACAACTGTGTAGTTTGCAACAGTAGTGTTAGAGAGCCTTCTCTATACCCCGCAAGAATCAATCTAATCTCAATTTTTAGGGATCCATTCTGCTGACCTTTTCAGACTCTACCATTATCCCTTGAAATCACTACCAGGCGCGCAAGCTCCGCCTAGTGGCGGACAGATTCATTAATATAACAAACATCCACTCGTAATTGTCTATAGACTTCTTGTAAGCATCTCTTCATATCATGGTCTAGCTACTATGAATTCATTACATACTGCTAAATTTATGCCACTTTCATCCATATTGTAGGAATCATTAGGCTGGGTATTTAAGCAGCTTCCTGAGTGGTCAAAAACTCTTAAAGAATTGACAGTCGCTTGTTGATTGATTGCGTTGATTAGACCAGCTGCAGTCGATCTACTGACGATCATATGAACGGTTTTATTACGCTGTAAGAAATGGCGGACCCAGTGGCAACCGAGGGGATTGTAATCGCCTTTCGTGGCAAGGATTTGGATGGCCATTTCTCGAATGCGATTGTGATTAGGTGGTTGGAAGCGTAGACTCTCATCGCAAATCCATTGTACAAGTACCTCCTCTTGCTCTGGAGTTAACCGCTGCTCGTGATGGTGAGCTATCGTGGGTGGAAGCCGACCTGCGAGGCGGTGGCGAAGGGTGGATCGTGGGACCTTGTACGCTTTGGCAGCTTGCCTTTGACTCTTAAAAATGCCAGATTTGAGATCTCGAATAGCAGATTGCAGGTTGATTTCAGAATATACCATTTTGGTGGCGTTGTGATTGGATAGTGCAGTTTTGCAGTCGTGGCGTCGAACGGGTTAGATGAGCCAACTCTTGGTATCTAAGCGTACGTCGATCTAATACAGTCCTTCGATATATTTGTACGGTTCTAATTCGGTCCGACGGTGTCCTGCTGAGATCTGTTCGCATATTGAATGCTGGGACACCGTGCTAGACGGAGCTGTGCTGGCCGGCGATATTTATGCCCGTGAGAGTGGTATCCCCGCTCCGCCCTACTAAAACTATCGTAACAATGAGGTTGTAGAGCTCTACACAAAAGCTGTTATCACAAAATGATTTAGTCTAGTAATCTAGTGATATCATTGATCAAATCTATCTAGCATATTTTAGGAGAAATAAGTACTTATTGATCTATTGATTTATTGGCTCCTACTCGGTTTTAGTCGCGTGCTGCGCAGCTATGCCCGGCATGGCTGGTGTAGCCAACAGCCGATGCCGCGCAGACGTTGATCCGCGCCGCCCCACGTCACTCCCTTATGGGAGCCAGCTGTTCCTAGAGGCCTGCCGTTTCCCTTCCGCCACTATCTATCATCTGGCCGCCACCTTATCTAGATAATGGCTCTGTTAACAGTATTCTATGCTTATAGGCTCGTAGAGGCGCGCTGCGCCGTTTGTCGCGTTCGCTGTGCCTACAGTCTCCCCCCCAGCGTTCGGCGTCGTCCATTTATCTCTAATCCCCATTTGCCCAAGGATCTGCGTCTATTCCATATACTCGATAGCTTTGGTGGCTAGATGCGGCGTGCTTAGAATCGTCCTAACGCTGTTTCGCCCGGATATGTTGCCGAAGATGCGGTTCTGGAGGTCCTTGTGCTTACTACAGTGTAGGAGGAAGTGGGCGACGGTTTACTGTCTCTCTCCGCAACTGCAGCGGAGACCGGTAACGGTCGGGACATGTCGACCGAAGGGGAAGTCATTGAGGCCCATCTTCTCGGTTCGCAGCTGCACCAGCAGCGCACCTTCTCATTTGCTGAGCCTCTCGTGGAGCTGCAGCACTTTCTTGGTAGGCGTCGGCGTGTGTCTGTATGTCGCGCGGCCTTTCTTGTTTTCTTTCTATGCGCTGATTTACGTTCTTTCTGCCCGTGTCTTACACCACCTTCTGAGCGTTGTTCTGAGTGGGTACAGCTGTGGGGGCAGGTTTACTGACAGCTAGCTGCGGCCGTCCTCTCTCCATTCAGTAGCCCTCCTTGGCAGCCTGGTCGGCGGCCTCATTTCCGGGGATGCCTACGTGAGCCGGTATCCATCGGGTGGTCACGGTTAGGCCTTTGTCCTGGAGCTCCTGGATCTGCTGCGCGATCTTTCCGAGGATGTAGGCGCCAGATCGTCCCTCCGCCTCGACTATAGACCATATAGCGGCCTGTTTATCCGTGTATATTGCTATGCTCTTCCGTTCGCTGTGCTCGTTTGCGTGGTCGTAATAGAGGCACGCATAAAAGAAAAGAAAAAGACTGCAGAACATGAAGAGACAGGACAATCAACCATTAAACACCTCGTCAACCACTCCAGTCATCCCGATCATCCGTTTGTGCCTAGTGCACTTCTTCGTTCTATCTAACAATTAGGTAGCTGGAATACAGTGTCTACAACCCAGCTACACTAAGCATAGTCACACATGGGAAAAGGCAGAGCATCGGAAAAAGAGCACACACAAAAAGCAATACAACAATCGTTGACACTCTGTCTATTATGAGGCGGCAGAGCGTAGAGTTGTATCTTCTATTGTTCAACGTATTGAATAAACTCTCTTGTCTCATGAGAGTGGTGCCTATTAACTAGTAGTATCCTCTATATACCCTTCAATCGTATCTTTGTACAGCAATTAAAGTGCTTTAGCCACTCTAGCGCAAGCTGATCATTGCTATAACCACTTTCTAATATCGCAATTAAGTAACCATAGGCTCACTAACATCGCTAGCGGCGTTGATAGACTCAACAAGAGTAATTAGCTCGCGGTTCTTAGCGTTTGGGATGAAGATAGCACGTTGGTTTCTCGTGTAGATATACTGATTTACTGCAACTCCAGTTCGACAGCCAGTCTCGTCTATATTGTATAAATCCTCTAGCTGTATCCTAATTTGATCTATCATACTTTTAAGCTTTATAAACTAATCTTGTATAACGTCTAGTTATTATACCTACAATCGCAATATCTCTATCAGTTTTACCTTAACGCGCTTGTATTTTGGGTGACGGCGAAGCCAACGACGTGCCCAGTTCTTTCTAATTAGAAGAGAAGCTTCATTAGTACCAAGATACGCCTCTTCAAGTAAAGCGTAGGCTTATATAGCGATAGTATAGTATTGGATACCAAAGCCGATCACTGTAACAATGTTACAACTTCGCCAAGTATCGGACTAATCCCAGAGCCGGATCGGAGGTAGCATTCGCCGCCCTCTTCATTAACCACTCGTTATAAAGTCAGATCCGATTCGGATCTAACTAAGATAAGTATATAAGAAGACACTCCCTGTAACTAGCTCTATAGACTTTTAATATCCTTTCGTACAAGGCCTATAGGTGTCTATTCGAATCAAGGCTCGTTTAATGTCCCACGCACTCCCATATGCCTCTGAGTGACACTACCGCCGATACTGATCCGAGTAGTCTTGCCTGCG